CCTGCCCTATACACATACGCAGCTATTTAAAAGGGTAGGTCTGTCCTACTGAGAGCAATTAGACAAGAAAAAAAATTTAAAGTATCTGAATCAAAAAGGAAGAAATAAAACTGTCACTATTTGTGGATACTATATACACACACACACACACACACACACACACACACCCTAAAGACTCTAAAAAAAAAAAAACTGTTAGAACAAATTCTGTAAAATTGCAAGATATGAAATCAATATACAAAAATTTGTTGCATTTTTAATACACTAACAACAAACTACAAGAGAAATTAAGAGAACAATCCCATTTATAATTGCATCAAAAAGAATGAGAACTAGAAATAAATTTAACCATGGAGGTGAAAGACCTTTACAGAGGTCCCTAGTACCATTTCATGGCCTATTAGGAATCGGGCTGCACAGCAGGAGACAAGCAGTGGACGAGAGAGCGAAGCTTCATCTGTATTTGCAGCCGCTCCCCAGTGCTAGCATCACCATCTATCTTAGCTCCACCTCAGATTATCAGGCATTAGATTCTCATAGGAGCACTGGTCCCTGGTGCCGAAAAGGTTGGGGACTACTGCAAGTATACAATGCAAAGCAGAATACACTGATACAAGAAAATGAAGACACAAATAAATGGAAAAATATTCCAAATATTCCATTAGAAGAATATTGTTAAAATGTCCATATTACCCAAAGTAATTTACAGATTCAGTGCAAACTCTACCAAAGCTCCAATGGCATTTTTCACAGAAATAGAACAAACAATTCTAAAATTTGTATGGGACCACAAAAGATGCCAAATAGCCTAAGCGATCTTGAGAAAGAATTAAAAAGCTGGAGGCATCACACTCCCTGATTTCAGACTATGTCACAAAGCAATAGTAATCAATCAAAACAGGATGTTATTGGCATTAAAACAGACATATAGATCAATGGAACAGAATAGAGAGCCCAGAAATAAACCCACACATACATGGTTAATTAAATTATGACAAAGAAGGCAAAAATATACGGTGAGAAAAAGACAGGCTCCTCAATAAATGGTGTTGGGAAACCTGGAAACCACAGCAAAAGAATGAAACTGGACTTTTACATCATATACAAAAATTCAAAATGAGTTAAAGACTTCAATGTGAGACTTGAAACCATAAAACTCGATGAAAACATAGGTAGTAAGCTCCTTGACATCAATCATGGTGTTAATTTTTCGGACCTAACTCCAAGGGCAAGAGCAGCAATGCAAAAATAAACACATGGGACTACATCAAATTAAAAAGCTTCTGCACTTCAACAAAGTGAAAAGCCAACCTACTGGATGAGAGAAGATATTGGCAAATCATATATCTGATAAGGGGTTAATATATAAAGAACTGTATATAAAGAATTTATACAACTAAAGAACAAAATATATAAAGAACTCACACAACTCAACAACAACAACAAAAAGAAAAACAATCCTCAATTAAAAAATTAGTGGAGGATCTAAACAGACATTCTTCCAAAGAAGAAATACAGATGGCCAATAGGTACATGAATAGATGCTCAACATTACTAACCATTCGAGAAATGCAAATCAAAACCGCAATAAGATAGCACCTCGCACCGATCAAGATGGCTATTATCAAAAAGACAAGAAATAACAAGTGTAGGCAAGGACGTGGAGAAAAAGGAACTCTCGTGCTGTTGGTGAGAATGTAAATTAGTGCAGCCACTATGGAAAACGGTATGGAGATCCATCAAAAAATTAAAAATAGATCTGCCATGTGACCCAGCAATGACTCTTCCAGATGTTTATCCAAAGGAAACAAAAACACTAATTTAAAAGATATACATACCCCGAAGTGTCCATTGATGGATGAACAGATAAAGATGTGGCACATATATACAGTGGAATATTACTCAGCCACAAAAAGAGAATGAAATAGTGCCATTTGTGGTGACCTGAGTAGACTTGAGGGAATCATGACAAGTGAAATGAGAAAGACAAACACCATATGATTCCACATATATGTGGGATCTAAAACAAAACAAAACAAAATGAAACCAAGCTTATTTACACAGAGAACAGACTGGTGGTTGCTGGAGGGTAGGGAGTTGCGGGTAGGCAAAGTGGGTGAAGGGGATTAAGAGATATAAACTTTCATTATAAAATAAATAAGGCATGGGGATGTAAAGCACAGCATGGTGACTATAGTCAGTAACTATTCTAAATTTGAAAGTTGCTAAGAAATTATCTCTTAAACAGTCTCATCATAAGGAAAACAATATATAACTTTGTATGTGGAAAGAGGGTAAATAGACTTGTGGTAAACATTTCACAATGTATACAAATGTCAAATCATTATGTTGTACACCTGAAATATAATGTTGTATGTCAATTATAGTTCAATTAAAAAAAAAATGTGACTCTATGCTTATTGGTGGTCTATCACATTCGCTGGATCATGTGAATACAAATATCCTTGTCTTGCTACACTGAAATATGATATTTCCATCCTTATATATGGTATTTCCCAGGTATTCTCTCAGTAACATCTTTCTTCTGATACTTCTAAAATCTCATGCTCGCAGTTTTCATTATTCAACTTTTCTATTTAGAAATTTTTCTTCTAAAAAAATATGCAGCTAACACCTTAGAGGATCATATTTTCTTTCCAGTGACAAGCTCATGACCTGTTCCTAAAGTGGCATGTCATACCTGTCATAGAAGGCAATGCCCAAACTGCCTCTTCTTAAGTATATTTTGCATTAAACCATAAAGTTATACATATTTAAAACTGTGTGGTGATTTAACAAGCACTTCTTTTTACATATAAGACGACTACTATGAAAAGTTTGTGCTAGAATAAAATCACGTTTTGTGTTGACCCAGTTCCAAATCACATACCAACAGTTTCAATCACAGGCAATAGAACATCGAAGCACATTATGATTCACCCTGAAATTTCAAACAAATTCTGTTTGCCCTACCAAGATTTATGAACAAAAGCTGAAGACTTCTATCCTCCATCTCCAATGGAGGCACCTAGAATATAGTTAAGCAGTTTGTTCCCGCTGTTTGAACTACAATCCCATGAGCCTGCCTCCTGGATGCATTTTAAGCTTTACATCCTTGAAAATAGACTGGGTCAGTCAAAGGGCACTCTGGGGTCTGCATGTGATAAACAGTGGGAGTGGGGGAAACTATTAAGAACTGAGAATGTACTAAAGGTACATAACAAAACTAATTTTAAAAAGATATTTTAAAGCAACTACTGAAAAACATTTGGAATAGTACACATTATTGTGCTGTTGAAATTCTGGCAACATCAACTTATTTGCCTTCCTGTTTTTAGAAAACCAGACACCAATACTCTCCAGCATGTTTCCTAACCACTTCTTGACATATACTTTAAAAACAACTTAAGCTTAAAACTCAACTAAGAATACTTTTATACATCAGTTTTATTCTTGTAAGAGAAACAACAACCATCTCTGTCATTCTTTTTGGTCTTTCACATGCTATGATACTTAAATTTTTCCTTAATACTTAATAATGCCTACTTCTATTGGCTGAACCTATGTAACTACCAAATAACTAAGATCTTTTTTATTTGAAACTCACAGACTTTGACAAAGGATGATAATTTCCACTTCATAGGTAGAGAAACTGAGATAGTAGCCACATCATAAATACAATCACAGATGCAACCATTGTTTGGGGGTATGTTTATTTAATGATTAAGGGGTGACTATGTCATTTGAAATACATTTTATTCCTATCAAAAGGTCAAATCAATCGAAACAAATCCACACCTATCCAAATTCCATATATTCAACACAGGAATATTTTTATGGTTGCCTCAGTAAGTCATAAACCATCATCTATAACTCCAAGACTATTTCTAACACATCCCCAGAGAGCAACTGAACTACCTGAATTTATTCAGAGCGCAACACTACCTTGGCAATTATATAAAAACTAAATAAACAAAACGTACTAGTCTTTAACTGCAGTGCTAGAAAAACGCCACATTTCAACACTTCCACTCCTTGAGAATTGCCACTGCTTGAGGCACACAAACTTCAATTTTGACAATAAAAAAATGAAATAGGAATTCTCCTGTCCTGTGAAGTAACCGCAACTCAGAAGTTGCTTCTCTACATCAATTAAAAGCCTCTTATCACGATAGACAACCATAACAAATTTAGCTAAAGTAGGTATAGGTCTGGATACTGTTGAAGCGTCATAAATTTCTAGCTCCCACAGACTCAAGTAAGACTCTACATTTCTTTCAGCTTGAGTTAAATGGGAGAAACTGCAATTCATATTTCCAGAAGCAAGAGTGGCATATTTTCCAGTAAGTTTCTTATTCTCATTTTACTATTTTAAGAATTCTGATCACTCCCAGTATTGCTGTGGGGCAAGATCTGAATTCTGGTGGCTGATCATCTTCGTGGCATGATGCTTTACTAAAACTGTCTCGAGAAACTGTTTGTTTTCATTCGTATTTGGCTTCGGTGTATTTATACACAAAATACCGTTTCGGTGGCATCGTGTCAAGAAAAGAAATAGCTTGCTAGAATTTCAGATGACTCTGTTAAAGGAAATTATTTTAAATTAATGTGGCTACTGAAATGCTGCCATCCTTAACCTCAGAAAATATATTCCTTCTAATTTTTGCTGTGAACATTTATTTATTTAAGTTAAATTCCAGCTCATGAATGTTGACCATAAGGAGTCTAAACCTTCCTGCTACTATTTCGTATTCTTTTTCTAAACAAGGGCGACCACATGTTTGCTGCATTAGCATGCACAGCCAGATCACCACCATTAAGTGAAATCATCTATGTATTTTTGGTAGAATCTTTAACAACTTCCACGCCCGTCAGTGAAATGGAACAAGGCTGTTTTGTTTTCAGAGAGCAACAATTTGATCTCTGGTTTACTAGATGGCGCTCAAAATATTTTTCCATATGTTTTTCCGCAAAGAGAATCTGACATCAGTATGGTTTACCTTCACCAGTGAATGCAGGCTTTTTTCACCAAACATATCCCAGAGGAAGGTTAGGTCTTCCTGGCTATCCACATGTGGCTGCAGCTGGGCTGGCAGAGCAGCCAATAGCTCATAGAGACCTATAAAATGAAAATAAAACACAAAGCGTAATCTTAGAGTGATCTCATTAATTTCGCTTAAGGTGTGTGTAAGTGACGGCTGGAACATGTCTTTTTTACTGCATTTATATTCTGGACCATCCAGCAAAACATTTCTCCAAAGAAGGAAAGGAAGCTTCTTGATTTTTCAATTCCAAAGAAGTATGCATTAACAGGCTAGTTTTTCTCCTTTACAGTTGTCAACATTCTACAGTCCTCCAAGTTTATATAACCCAAGACAGAAAATGTGTACAAGCTTTCAAAAAAAAGAAAAGGCATACATTCCTTTCCTTGATCGTTATTACATTCCCTCAATTTTAGCCAAAGAGTTAAATGAGTCATGAACAGGAAAAACTTCCTTAGAAGAGCAGAAAATTAATAGAGTGGTCCACTAAAAAGGTTTTGTGGTTTCCAAATTGTTCCTAATAATACATAGCTTCAAAAACCTTTGCATTATCTAATGTCCAAAATCGAGTTCTAAAAAGTAAGGCAGAATTAACCATAGCTGATGCTGCATTACTTCGTTCACCCACTTAAAAACAACAACAACAACAAAAAAAAAACCCAACTACGGAGAACTGGTTTAAATCTGCCTCTAATTTGGAGGGATGTGACACCCTCTGAAAGAGTTAAGGTAACAGATGCGGGTTACTCGTGGTGCTCCTCGCTAGAAGCTTCCAGGAGCAGACAGTAGCGCAGTGTTCCCCAGTAGCGCACTGCATAACCCATCCATCTCGTTCAGGGGCCGTCAGACTCCTGTCCAAGAAATGTTGCAACGGTGCTTGCCCGAGACTCTTCGGGGAGGTGACCTGGCAGAAGTCAATATCAACTCATAGCACATGTTTCATTTTCCAGTGGGATTACATGAGGTAAAAAGGACAAAATTCCTTTTATTTCTCTCTGCTGTCTACGAAAACACCGAGGTCTCCTGGGATCTACAACACACGGGACTGTTGTTACTTCTGGTCTGAATAAGCGCTGCTGTTCATCACAGGGACAGCTTTACAAGACACTTAACTAGCAAATAATCACAGCATAAATTATGGGCTGCTGATCAGTATATCTATTATCTTCGAAAGCATTAAATAGTCTGATAATCAGTAATAATTCATGACCAAATACATGAGGGCCCACTTTGAAAGTTAGATATGTAACCTGAGAGAGTTGGTAAAATTCAAACATTCTGGGGTTGTATTTGGCCCTAAAAAATCTAAAATGCTTGAGAAAAAAACTTTTTGTTCTTAAGTGCTCTTGGTTGTTTATATTTATTTCCTTAAAACCCTGGCATTCTGCCTAAACTAGCTCTTAGTTATGATTTAGTAACTATTTTAAGGTACCTTAACGTAATTCGATGTATACACATCTCACTTCAAATATATATTTACATTTCAGAATATGAAAATATATAAAAAGGTACAATTCACTATTTTATTACTGATTTCATAAGTAGTAAAATTATCTATTCCTTGGTCATATGATTAGCTTAATTAATGATAGTAATTCAACTGTGATATAATTTCTGAGATATAGTTGTTAGGGAGATTAAATGAGTCATTACATTAGCACAGTCCTTGCCTGGCACAGGGCAAGTACTCAGTCAGTTTCATACATAACTCAATGAGGTTCAGCCATTGTAATAACTGATTACTATTGTGATTCATCATTACTATTCCTGAAAAAGCGAAAGTTTGAATCAGACAGACCTCAGTTCAAACCCCAGGTCTATATTTTAGGCATTTCATATAACTTATCTGAGTCTTGTTTCCCTCATAAGTTGAAAAAGAAATAGTAACCTACAAATGTGGTAAAATTGCACAGAACAAAATGTGTGTATGAACGCATGCGTGCGCACACGCGCACACACACACACACACACACACACAAAATGAGTACATGTAACACTGGTGAAATCTGAATGAGGTCAATGGATTGTATCTGTACAATCTCCCAATTGTGATGCTGCACTATAGTTATATAAGACGTTACTATTGGAGGAAACTGGGTTGAGGTACACAGGATCTGCCTGTATTATTTCTTATAATATATGAATCTACAATTTCTTCAAAACAAAGTTAAAACAAAAGAAGAAATTGTGGTAAACATGGTTGTTGTAGGAATTCGATGGAACAACGCACATGGTGGCACTTAGCTCTGTAGCTGGCACAGGGTAGGCAATCGATAAGACATTCTTCTTTCCTTAATATGTCTCCTCTGGAATGAAAATACCATTTCAATGCAATGGTTCAAAGGCAAAACAACAGCTTAGCTATACGTTTCAGCTGGACACATACCATACTCAGAAATAAAACCACCCTAGTCTTTTACATATGGAAAGTGTTAAATTTACCCAAATACAGCTTAGCTTTTTGTGGGAATAAGCCATATTATGTATAAATTAAAAAGAATAATTTCTCTGTTAGCAGAAGCTCATAAACCTGAGTTTTCTGGGGTTTACTAGTTTTATACAATCCTAATTTCTATGTCACCCTAGTTTGGTACTCTGGTGACAACAGCAGTCACTTCTCTTCAGCTCCCACATCTGATAACCACAGAGCACAGCCAAAAGAGATAGGACAGCGCCAATCAGAAATTAAAGAGACAGTTACAAGAGCTACTAGTATGTTTGGAGTCTCAAAGCAGGTAACGTGGACAATCACTTCCACTCAAATAAATTATACAGGCCCTAGAAACCATCTCAGCCCACGCCTAAAGCTGGGTCTGTGTTCTCACATGTGCTTTAAAATACTCCAATATTAGAGGTCCAATCATAAAGAACACTGAGAAATCCAAACAGTTTTGGTCCCTAAGATTCAGAAAGCAAGTGATGAGAGTTCAGATAGCACGGCATATCTTTAAAATTTCTACCTAAATCTCCCTGGTCCCTGAGCAGGAACTGGAATGGGGAAAGTCACCATGTACACCTCTGTAGTCAGGCGTCCACGCTCGTGAACGCTTCAGACCAGTGTACACTGACGGCACCTATGAACCAAGCGCTGTTCATGGCTCCAAATGTCTCAGACAAATTGGCCATGAGCCTGCTCTGAGGAATTTGCAGTGTTGAGAACAAGCACACAGACAGGCCTATGAGCAAGTGCAGGGCAGGGTTAGACTGCTGTGGCAAAAGCAAGGGAAGTGGCCGATGCCTGCAGAGGAGGAAGAAGACTCAGGAAAGCCTTTCGCAAAGAATACCGCCGGAGTTATGTCTTCGAAGGCTGCATTCTTCAGGATCAACATTTTTGAGTTCCCACATTCAGAGCACTATGTTAGTCACTGGGGACAGAACTGGGTATAGAATATACCACTACCTCTGCCCCAGAAATTTTACCATCTTGGATGACACAGACTACAAATCGTATGTGCCCAAACATAAAGCCATCCTAAATATAATTATCTGCTATTTGCCCAAATAAAGATCCAAAACATATTTTCTTCCAGGTGAAATAAATAGATGTTTGGACTACTGATGAAAAATTCAAGTACCTAATTAATTTTCAGGGATGTTGGTAAGATGTTCATATCTGCTTATAATATTTAAATTATAATTTAGTCAGGAATGCATATTTTTAATTACCTATTAAAAAATATTACCTTAGATATTTGGGCTTTGCTCCACTTACACATTTCATGCAATCATTTAAAATTTTTCACAATGATTTCCCCATCACTAGTGCCACGCGCAGAGTTAGAAAAGATCATTTTCACTTCCAGATAAGTTATTTGAGATATAGCATTCTTTTGAATTTGTGGGAGATGCCTTCACTTAGAACCTGGGTAAAGGTGACTGGTTCTTCATTTGTTCTGTAGCTCTATGTTTATCTCCACAATGGAACCACTTAACTACTCTTTAAGTATCTTTAATATTTGCAAATGTGAGGTTTTAACCCCACTCCAAAGAAAAATAACTAAATCTGGTTTAAACTTGTCTCCTTCTTTTAAAACAATTCTGTCAAGTAATCTCTCAATAATCCCCCAAAATATAAAGTTAGGTTATATGAGAATAACTGTAGCTTCTCCCTTCAATACATTTTTGTGTGATAACATAAAGTTCTGTATAAGAGATTTTTTAAGGACTTGAGTAAGGCAGCTTACTCTTCTCTGAGAGATCATTTTAAGGGGGAAAAATCCCACCTTATATTTGGGTACATTTAATACAAGACACTATCAAAATGCCTATGACTCCTCCTTAATCTATTCTTCCTACCATCAATTGATCGAGGTGCCTAAAACAATATTTAGCAATAATTATGACCGCAAGCACTTCCTAGTGATATTAATCATACCTAATACAGTAGGTCCTCAAATAACGTCATTTCATTCAACATTTCACTATAACATAAATGAGATGCCACAGGAACTTAACTCTCATTTATCGATTAGCCTATGGTAAAACTGGTTTTGTTATATGTTGCTTCACTTAATATTGCAAAACCTATCAATGACATTAAGTGATAACTTACTGTATTGACAGGACTACAGTAAGGGCGTCATAGGTTACCTCATTAATGCTCTCCATAGCAGGTGCTATTATTATCTCCACTTTACAGGAGGAAGTACATTTAGAGAGTACGTAGCATATTTGAGACTTAAACTCAATTCTGGAGTATGCCTCTTGTAATAATCCAACAATTTATATCTTCTATTCAAAAACCTTTGAGAGCTACTTTTAAAAAGTTAAATGCCTAATTTGACGACCAGATTACAGAGGGATCAAATATTTCAAATACAAACTAGAAGATTTCATAGAATATTTTTATCATGTTGTAGTTAAACACTTTCTTAGCATACAAAAAAAACTTAGAAACTGTGAAAGGCAATGATTGATAAGACTTTATAACAAATAAAATTTTCATGTATCAAAAAACCCAAAGGAGTTTGCAAAGAAATTGCTAAAAAATTACTTGCAACAAGCAAGTGATAGATATTAAGTACAATAAAAAGATGAATAAACCAATGGAAAAATAGGCAATGATACTGGTGGTTGG